TGACACCCATGTCTCCCCACGACACCCCAGGGTACAAGCGGAAGAAAAAAAAGTTTTTTTTAAAAAAAGTATAAAAAAATGGCATGACCAGCGATGTGATTTAATCGAGCATCTGCACTCACTGTCTGCTGTTGAGGTGCTGAATCCAATCCATCCTGGGCTGCGTTCTGACTTCTGACCAAGGAGATTAAAAGTTAAAAGTTCTAAACTCCTTGCTTCTGACAGACACAATCGAGGTAGATCCAACACTCCTCTGGAATTATCAAAATATGATAATGGCTAATGGGAAGGTTGTTTTTCTTTGGGTGGGGGGGGGGGGGGTGTTGTAGGGGTTGTACATTATAAAATCATTTAACATTGTAATTACGTCATGTAGGCGCAAGGTTTATTAGTGAAATTTTTGTAATCATTTCCAATCAATCAATTTTGTTTTGAAAGCCAAGGGCATGCTGTAGAACACGGATGTGTGCGATGTAAATGCAGTTATTTTAAATTTCTATTGATTATTATTAATCATTATTTCTATAATATTAACTTTATTTTTTTTTAATGAATTCACGATACATGAAAGTAAAAGACCGACATGACGTGCACAAGGCACAAGATAAACGTCCTATTCATGTTTCGGTTTGTTTTTCTTCATCAAGGAAGTGAAATTTATTTTTAAGTTAGGCTCACTTCCGGTTTTTTTTTTTTCTAACAAACATGGCGGAGTAACTTGTCGCCACAGTCATTAGGTACCTGTACCTGCGGGTTTTCTTAAAGTTGAAAAGGTGGAATTTTCTCTTGATTGTGAATTGATAATGACTTTTTGAAGTGTGGAGCTAATTTTTGGGCCAGTTCCAAAGATGAATCGTTTTCAAATTAAGTCGAAGACCAAGTGTTTCTTTGAGAAAACAAGAAGAGACCCAGCAGACAGAGCCTGACTCCTGACACTGACACTGACACTGACTGAGAGTGAGAGTAGGCGGGGAGTTTTTAGTCTATTTTAGAGACTTGAGTGGCACTCCTAGATTCTAGAATCTAGATCTAGATCTAGCCGTCTGGTGATGATTGCTTTACTACATATCGTATTATGTAAATGTTGTTGTAGCATATCTATATTTGTGTTTAGATCTATTCTAGATCTATATCATGGCCACCTCTATTCTCACCCGGGATAGCGCAGGCGAGTCTTTTGGCTATGGAAGTGGCTATTCTCATCCGGGGTGAGAATAGAAAAACGATCTACCTCTCACCCCGGGTGAGACTTGCCAGTGTAGGCTATTCTCACCCGGTGCGAAACAAGACCTGCTTTTCCTCATTTTGGAATACTGTCTGTCGGTGTGGATGATCAAATTGATAAAAGCCAAGAAAAAATTACGTTATAGCACAAAAGTAAGCTAATTTGATCGTCTTCAAAGATGCTATGGCTATTTCACTGTTCGAATCGAGCCGAACTACGCGGGTCGCCATTTTGTTTTGCCCGGAAGTTCTCGCAAGATCTACTCCTCCCCTCTCTCTCTCTCTGTCTCTTTCTGAATACTGTCTATCGGTGTGGACGATCAAATTGACCAAAACAAAGTTAAAAAATGTGGTTAAAACACAAAAGTAAATTAATTTGGTTGTCTACAAAGATGCTACGGCTATTTAACTTTTCGAATCGAGCCGAACTACGCGGGTCGCCATTTTGTTTTGACCGGAAGTTCTCGCGCTACTCCTCTCTCTCTCTTTCTCTCTCTCTCTCTCTCCACTGCCCACAGACAAAATTGTACGCTTTTAGTAGGCTACAGTTGTAATGGAACGTTTGTTCACGGCACAGAATTCTACAATTTTTCTGTTATCACAGTGTAGAATTCTGTGGTTTAGGGTGAACGCAAAATTTGTTGGCCTAGATCTAGGCTATAACGGTGAACGCGCACCGGGTGAGAATAGCCAAAAGACTCGCCTGCACTATTCTCATCCCGGGTGAGAATAGAGGTGGCCTTTGGCTATTCTCACCCGGTGTGCGTTCACTGTTATAGCCTAGATCTAGGCCAACCAATTTTGCGTTCACCCTGAACCGCAGAATTCTACACTGTGATAACAGAAAAATTGTAGAATTCTGTGCCAACAAACGTTCCATTACTAATCTAGTCTAGACTAGTACAAGGAGATTAAAAGTAATGGAGGATGCTCTGTGGGCGGCACCGCACGCCTGATAGGAGCCCTCTCTCGCGGCGGAACCGTGGGCTACCTGCGCTGCGCGATTGCCCGACTAAGGCACTGAAATCTAGATAAGAAAGAAGGTTTTATTCCGAGGTCCTTCAGATTAGGCAAGTCAATTAGTAAAAATGCCTTGCACCTGTGTTGTATTTAAGTGTAAGAACCGATATGATGCTGCAGTGGACCGAAGTTTTCACAGTTAAGTTGTTTCCTTTTTAAAAAATTTGAATGAAAGTGTTTCTATGCCCCCAGCAACACAATTTAAATCATTAATTCATAAGAGGCTGGCCCCGGCGCTACATGCCAAGGCCAACCCAGGCTGAAAGGGATACAACACCCCAGCAGAAAGACTGAGATACTCAATTTTTTAAAAGTATTCTTATTCATAAATATATATAATTATTATGAGTATATATATATAATTATTATGTGTGTGTATGTATATACATATTATACGTTTTAATTAAAGATATTGCTTTCCTTTGTGTGTGCAAATTAGATGCTACTGTAGTCTAAATGTATATATCTAGAGGCTCCATTAGAATATGAAATCAATATTCAACAACAATAATGATGAATATTTTCTATGTTAAAGAAATACCAAACCATATCAGATGAGGGGAGAAGGTAGGGTGGGGTGGATAAGAGTTTGAGTCTTGTTAGATAGAACTATACTCGGTTTAATTCTATTGTTGTAGTCTTCACCTAAGATCCCACAATCAATAATTCCGGTTCACATAAGATTCTGCGATTGATGGATTGCGCAAATGGACAGATCGCGCACAACATCCACACCGATAGACAGTATTCAGAAAGAGAGAGAGAGACGAGGGGAGGAGTAGATCTTGCGAGAACTTCCGAGCAAAACAAAATG